GTTGTTTTGCGCAATGCGTGAATTTTCACTAGTTTAGTACATTTTTCTTGTGGTGTTCTGAAGAACACTTATGATATGGCACCTATATGTGGCTAAACAATTGTCTAAAGTAGATTATATGTGGCACTAAATGGGGCAATGACAATTTAAATTCAAATATTTAGTTACCATTTAATCAATAGTTTTTGTTTTGACTAATTCAAATTTGTTTTTGGTCATCACTAATTCAAATTGTTTGTTTTTCAACGGTAACTCAAATTCTTTACCATCTAAATTATAAATAAAAATATGTTATGATACATATGATCATATAACAATTATAAAGATATTCATAGTAACTAATTCTACTATACAACTGTGGATACATGTATAACTCACTCATCTTTATTCGGTATATTGTTCATACAACTTTTAAATTACAATGCATACAAAATAATACATCAGTCGTTTTTATTTTGTTGATTGTTCATACAACTTTTAAATCCCGATCAAAGTGTATGATAGTTGACTCTTAAGCCGATTTCATTCGCTCTACAATTTTTTTCATGTGCTCAATATGTTTCTCTCTATGAGGAATACATTCCCTCACGATCTCAAGTTCTTTCAGATTCTTGATCCATTTGTTTAGTTCTGGAAACTTCTTCTCTGGAATCATATCAATTCCCATACTTTCCCAACCCCGAACTAGACAAAATGGGATCATACTTCCTACAACCATGTCCAAAAATCCTATTGTTTCTCGGGCGAAGAATTTTTTTCCCATGATTTCCTTTTCAAGGAATGTAATAAGTTCTCGAGTCTCCTCGATTGCAGCCTCTGTTCTGTTCCCTGCTTTTACTAGAGACCTGAACCCTATTGATGCGACCTATATATAGCAAACATCTCATAACAATATATTGCATGTGCATAAATATTCCAATTGGTAATTCTGCTAATCGCTTACAATAAATATGCGGACTGGGATTTGAAATAGAATAAACGATAAAGTTTTAAGTAGAGAATGATAGATCACTTTTTCACCTTTTAATATATGACTATGCAACTTTTTTACCATATTATATAATTCCTTTTTAATATTCTGCAAGAATTTTATTCAGCTAAAGTGTTTTCATCTCATAACACTATAATGTAATTTTAAAATCACGGAAATTAGAATGGTTATTAATCTTGCAACATGCCATTGTTGAATGTAGAAAATTATTATTACGGCAAGGTTTGCTTATAAATCGGAGCAAGAATCTTGCTTTTACTATTGAAAAAGGTAATTGAAGTTCTAGTAACCTATGTTCTAAGAGTGTATCATTTAAGTCATCTATGCGATTGATTCATAAAGGAAATGGTTTTTAGACTTGCCTGTTCATCGACGAACTTGGCCCAGAATCGAGCCATGGCTTTGTCATATGGATCTCGAGGTAGAATTGGGTTGTTTGTCCACGTTTGGTCGATGTATTCGAGGATCAGATGTGACTCGGGTAATATGTTACCTTTGTGGACAAAAACAGGGACTTTCTTGTAAATTGGGTTTAGTTGGAGAAGCAAAGGGCTCTTGGCGACCAAATAATCTTCGTCGACGTAATCGTAAGGCACACCTTTGAGTTTGAGAGCCATCTCAACCCGACGACTGAAAGGGCTTGCCCAAGACCCAATAAGCTTCACATCCTCTTCTTTCGCCGCCATTGAATCTATCTCTCTCTCTCCCCCCTTATTATGCTATTTAACTCCTCTGTTCTTCTTTGACTATTTATGCTATTATGTAACTTATGTTAAGATTTTAAATAGAAAGGGAAAGGAAAAGAAGTCCCTTTTGGCTGTCTGCTTAGACTATAACACTTTCGTATATATCTTTATTATTGGTGTTGTGAGATCATCTAGAAGCACAATGTATATATCTTTATTATTGGTTCAAATTTGATATTATCAATGGACTTCTAGAAGGTATTTTACATTATCACAGCCTCAATATTTCTTTCATTCAATGGATATGTTTGGTAGGATATACTTCAAAATATTTGGGTTATTGCATATCAATAAATCGTATTTTACAGTTTTACCCTACCTTTTTTATTCCTATAGTTTAAAATTCTTTTCAAAAAACAGAAGACCGATCATAGGTTCAATTTTGTTCACAAAAAAATACGAGCAAAACATTGCATTAATTAAAATCTAGCCAAGTATGATGATATTTTCATACTCTTCACTAGAGCTCTATTCCATCTTTATTTTACTGATAAGATTTAAGATATAAATGTTCACAAAAAGATTTCTACTACCAGTGTAGCTACATTCCATTTTTATTTCGAAAATTTGAATAACAAAACGATAGAAGCATATAGTAAAATATTTGAGAACCAAGAGTTATGAAGTTGTCTTGGATTTAGATAGACTTTTTCTCTACAATTTTGTGCATGCGCGCTCAATATGTTTCTCTTTCGGAGGTATACATTCCCTCACGATCTCAACCTCATTCAATCTCTTGATCCACCTGTTTAATTCTGGAAACTTCTCATGTGGAATCATATCAATTCCCATACATTCCCAAGCCCGAGCCAGGCAAAACGGGATCATACTTCCTGCAACCATGTCCAAGAATCCAATCGTTTTGCCACCGAAGAAATCTTTCCCAGTGACTTCCTTCTCAAGATATGTAATCAGTTCTCGAGTCTCTTCGATAGCAACTTCTATTCCATTCTCTGCTTTTACCAGAGACATGAAACCTAGTGATAAGATCTGTAAAATAAATTAATATATAAGAAAAACTACTTCAAACAAATACTTTATTCTAGCAAATAATCTTGATAAGAATGTTTGAAATGTATTGAACTTCTAATAACTCTTAAGTTTATCATTTATCTTGGAAAATCAATATTATAAATTAATGTAATTTGTTGGAATTACCTGCTCATCGACGAACTTGGCCCAAAATCGAGCCATGGCTTTTTCGTAGGGATCTTGAGGTAGAATTGGATTGTTCTTCCATGTTTGGTTGATGTATTCGAGGATCACATGCGACTCGGATAGTATTTTATCATTGTGGACAAGAACCGGAACTTTTTTGTGAACGGGGTTTAGCTTCAGAAGCAAAGGAGTCTTTTTGGGAAAATCTTCCTCCAAGTACTCATAAGGCACGCCCTTGAGTTTCAGAGCCATCTCGACCCTACGACTGAAAGGGCTCATCCAAAACTCTAGAAGTTTCACACACTCTTTTTTCTTCGCCATTGGATCTCTCTCTCTCTCATCTTGAAGATTAAAGAAAGGGTATCTTTAAGGTTATAAGTCATTGCTGACGCCACTCCCTTATTTTATTTTAAGGTTAGGTATGATAAATGCTTTGTCTAAAGAAATAAGTATGTAGTTGAATTGGTTGAGAAATGGTTGTTGGCTTGGTGATGATGAAACTGGTATATATCTTCTCTGTGTAGCTCATCTTTAATGATTTGTATTGGTATACTTAATGCATGTCCTAGTTAATTTGATAGATAACTAATTGAATGCATTAAAATAAACCACAACTACCACTATTTTCTTGTTCTAGTTAACAGAAAACTAGTGGCTGGACACAGTTTATCTATATATTAACACAAAACTCTACACTTATACTTACCAGAAAACACGCTTAAAACC